TTGAAGAACGTTGACTACTCAAAGATTAAATTAGCACATAAATGGTGGAAGGAAATAGATTCGAAGAAAGGCGTTTTGTTCAGTGATCTGCTAAATTTAATTGAAAAGTTGGTCCGAAATTGGATTGTTAGGCTGTTGAGTTTTCTCAAGGATTTTCCAAGGACAGTGAAGTAGGAATCGATGCTACGGAACAAAAGAAATCTCAAGTTATGAAGTTAACATCTCTTACCATTAGAACGAAAGTTAGTGGCATTGATACCCTCTTAGATTGCCCATTTCAAACGTGATATTTCCTTCTACTTGTAATATTTTCGTTCCTCAGAGCTTGTATCAGTAGATATTCTCCCACGGCTCATGGTAACACTGACTTCCCCCACTCTTTCCAACCTGAATTGTTCGAGGCTTTCACTTGGTTTAGATTGATACCAGAATTATTCAGTGGAGGGATTCATGACGTTTACCCGTTCACTTGGAATAAAAGGCACGTGCTACAGAAGAAACCGTAAAGCTGATAAACTGGTAATTGTAATGCACGGTATGCATCCAAAAAGCTTTTGCAAAATTTGAAAACTGTGAGACACGTGTCTGGGTCAGCAGGCACCACGTGTCAAACAGATTTTTTCTCCTAGGTCATAGGATTGCACGAAATTCCTTGTTGGAACTACATTCTTATGCAGCTTATGATTCAGGAAACTGATTCATTGGACAGAGGATTACAGGAATACTTAAAGGGAAGTACAAATTATTTTGCAGATGACACATTGCACTAAAGATGGCATTACTCAGGGCTTAGGCATGTATCGCCAGCATAGCTGTTTCATATATGACGTCATCAATAAACAACATGATTAGTAATAGTTCCCATATAAAAAGAAAAGTATTAGCTCGTTGATAAGGAACGACAGATGATCTGTCGTCTCAACGTTATCAGAATTTTTCAAAAAATTCTTCGGTTAATACTTCCTTGAAGTCTTAGGCAGTGAAAGACCAAAACAATTTCGAAATCGATTTGTATTTACTAGAAACCTTTTTTTTTTTTTGAAAAACCCTTTTTCTCGGAAAGATACGGGTCAGGCAGGGCAGAAGGCCTTTTCGTAATGGGCCTTCATTGAGAAGCCTTGTTTTTCAGTGAGAAGAAGCAAACGGCAATCGAACATTATTTTGATAAATGCCATTAAAATAAGCCGTGTATTGGAGCCAACCTGGAGAATTCACTTTATCCTATGATGGTTACATTTCAGAAGCGAATGCGGATGTGAAAGTGACAAGAAAGATTACAATGATACATTTTTGGCAAATGTAAGTTTACTACTTTCACATCACATCAATTTTGACAGTATACGATGAATCATGATGCAAATTGATATAATTACTAGTAATTCATGGAAATGATCAGGGAATATGCCCATAGCCGTCTAGCAATATTCCATCCTCCCCCGATGAGAGCCCGACATACGTCTAGCCTCGCAATTAACTGGTTAAAGATCATTTAATTTTGCCGACGTCGGTTCTTCATTTCGTAGAACTATCAAGAGCGATATGTTATCAAAGTAATCCTATAATATCAAAGTAGTAAACCAGTAAGCAATGACTCAATCGAGTATCAAACACCAAGCCATGGGTACTTTTGAATTTTTTGTTTAGAGTTTAAATCGGAAATTGAAAGGACTATCATTTAAAAAAAAAACCCAGGTCTAATGGCGTCGAGATGATCTCCAGAGGGAACTTTTCGAAAATTCTTGAAATCCCATAGGGTTCTTCCGGAAACTCCCGAAATCCCACAGGATTCTTCACCATACTTTATGACATCGCCCCTATCTGTGATTCTTGAAAGTCCAAACCCCATAGGCCACACAGATGCATAAGAGGATTTGTAGGCTTTTCGCTGAGGTCGGGTCCACACAAAAAACCGTACTGACACAGCTCTTTGTACTGATAACTGGGGCTTTAAAATCGGCTTATAATGCACTCAGCCATGAAGATCATCAAATAATACTGATTAATAAGTGATAACGTTGTTTTCGATCAGTGGGGGTTAGCAAAAAAACGACCAACGCCAGAGGTCGAATTGCTTTATGAATGAAGATAAGTACCATAGAATAAGTTATTCCAATACGAATCCTTCCATCAAGCTCCCTTCTTTGAAAGCTTAAGGCAAATAAAGTGGTGCTCAAAAGTCACGAAAAATACTTGTTTACATTATTATGCGGTAAAAAGTAAAACCGATTCAGGCCTGCGTCGATTATGCCAACAGAGAAATCGCTCTGGGTACTTCAGGAAAATTCGATAAGGAGGATTTCACATTGGCCGTCCAGCCGTTTTTCCGTGATATCACCACACCACCAATGAAGGTGAATCACTGAATATTAGCCGAATAACTTTCTGATAAAACTAGTAATGCCGCTTTTTACTTTATTCACAGTCCTGTGAGTGAGCATCTTTCAGGACGGGAAGATTAATATGAAATTCTTCGCACCCGACTGCTTCCACTTTTCCCAGTGGGGTCACGGTATCGTTTCTACCTGGCTATGGAAGAACATCCTTGAACCAGTAGACAAGAAGACCACCCAAGGAGATCTAACGAATCCAGCTATACCACTTGCATGCCCCGATCCGGTATTATGATTTTTACCACTCATACCCGATGATAATTAGTGATAGTAGTTGATAACGCTTTCTATTTGCAGAAATGTCCTTTCATTCGAACGAATCTCAACAGCAAGGACTGCAGCAAGTACATGACACCGAGTAAATAGTTCAAATAGGTTATCATAATAAACATTCAGAGCTGATCCTTTGCGGTTGTTCACCAAAAGTTGCAAATTTCTACTCTTGCAGTACAGAACGCTCCCTTTTTTGCGCTCATGCTAACAATAAGACTTACTAGTAAGCCCTCCTAAACATATGTGTATGTATGTGAAGGAGGTGGAAATGACTGTGATGGACCACGACGTTACGCGCTTCCTGGTTGAAGGCAGGGATGAAATTTAGGCCTGGGGTAAGGTAGAGTAACCCGAAAAGATACCACAGCTCGAGGAGAGGGCCAAAATTAAGGTTAAGCTCAAACAAATAATTCTATCATCGTTTACTAGAAAGAGCCCACTAAAGTGTTGTCACAACTTTTACTAGTTATTTTTAGTTAAGGAACCTTCTTATCATGGCGCTTTTTAGAGGTCCTTTTATTACTTATTAGACCAGACCTTTCTGGTCCCACCTAACATCTGGTACCCCTAAATCTTTTGTCAATGAAGAACAGCTGTCCGACACCTCGGTATAACCCTGGGCCACGAGTTTGTCATCGAATAAGATTTTCTGAGACCTCCAACTTCCACGGCTTGATGATCTCTTGCGAATAAACTACATATTACTCATTCACGAACCAGACCAAGATAGGGGATCAAATTTCATGTGAAAGAGGTAGCTCTCGAAAGCATTTCTAACCCACGCCATATTTGTCGTAAGAGCTTTTCATGCTATTATAAATGAGGAACAAATTAAGCATGAGGGACAGGGAAGATGGAAAAAGGATAGCTTAGCGGTAGTCAACGTTAGACTTTGTCCTTTTCCTATCACTTTGTGACTATTACTTGTAAACTTACTGTTTTATTTGTGATTTATTATTTAAAATTACAAATGAGTAAAGCTAGTCATCGAGCAGTCATTCATATTGAGTTTAATTTATTTTATCTCATAAACCAACGAGCGTAAGTCTATAAAATATAATAAATGAAAGTAGCTTTGCAGTTCATTCTAAACGTAACGGTAAATATTTGAACACGAATTGAATAACATTTCGGAAAAAATTTTGACTACTCACGTAGAGCAATTTTTCCTAAATGGATTAGACTGCGGATTTTTGAAGACTCTCGAATGGGCAGGATATTCTGCCCAAGCCTTCCAAGATAATGGTGAAATCGATTGGCAATTGCAGCCTAGATTCAATGGGATACAGGAAATTTGGGGCCAACCGATCACAGTCCACTCTTTTCCCCTTTTAGATTGCCCTGAATACCAGTGGTGGCATACCCCGGTGAAATGGCCATCTTTCATTTAACTACCATTAGATGGCACGTCTATGATACTGCTCGTTTCCCCAGAAGCAGAAAATTGCCACTTGAAGAAGAATAACAGCCAAATGAGGATTTGAACTGTTTTCAGTTTAATTTCTTTTCTTTCTTTCATCTCCGGCGTCATGTTCATCCATGGCCGATCCCTCCGGCCCGAAGGCAGCGTGCTATTCACGTGAACGGCATGTGAGGGCATGGACACGCTGGACATACGAACGTCCATCGTATTACTGCTACAATTAACAGGATTACCTATTGGACCAAGCTGCGCAGTATAGTTCAAAAGACAATGAGGTCTGGTATGCGCCATGTACAAAAGCTCTCTCTAAAATCACAGAGTTGGATGAGTCAGCCCAAGTTCCATTTCACTTTACAGCGACTAGTATGAAGACTCTTCAAAATACGAAATAAATGCTTTGCTCCAGGAATACCCGTACAATCGGGCGCTGTCTAAAATGATGGATTCGACAGAAAGTATAAACACAGCAGAATTGACACTGTCACTTGTGAAATGGACTTTTATGTGCCTGCTGTAAAGACGCAATCGAAAAAAATCTGTATTTTGTCAATTTAATATCCCCTACAGAAGTTGAGGCCCATCGATTTCAATACCATTTTCTCAGATTTCGATGAAGCACCTTTCCAAAGCTGAGGGCATGACAGAAGTTGAAGATCCCAACAATGAGTTTTCCCGATCCTTTTGAGCTTCAATGACGCATACAAAAATCTAAGCCATTGAACGACTTTGGACCGAAAAAAAGCAGCAAAGTTTAATTTTTTGCACCACCCTTAACATCCTGGGCGGGTAGCCGTCAAACGAAGTGTATTTTGGCACAAAACATTTACAAAAAAGTCTAAAGTAGTAGGCTAGACTTGAGATGAGCTTTTGTGCAAGCACTTTGATTCTGCCCTTTATTCATGGCCACCCCTTGGATTTTCAATGCATTCATGGACTTGTATGAAAATGTGGAACTTTGCTTTTGTTTTGCATTTCACCATTAATCACTGTGAATTACAAAAACAAGAGCTTAACAGGAGCTCGTGCTGCTCGGCACCAGCTTCTGCATATGATTGATTCTGTGGGGAATGAAAGGAAGATGGATGATTTCTCATAGCTATTGCGAGTTTCCTTCCCCCTTAATCCTCTTCATCCATTTTTCAAACGATTATTTCAGAAATCTTTCTTCTTCATCACCATCTTGTACAGCCATGAAAGGAAATCGGAAACAAGGTGAACTGCCCTCGAAAACCGTGACTAGATCTGTTGTTAGGTCTTGAGAAAAACTGAAAAATGAGTCAGGGAAAAGGCCAGGTGTGAACAACCACACCCTATCGCCAATCAACGAATTATCATTTTTTACAAATCGCTGTAACAAGGAAGTTCAGAAAACACTTCGTACTGTGTTCATTCCTTGCAAAACATAGCTGGCAGAGAAGTTACCTGGGTAACTTGTTAAACTAAACAAAGTCAGCAAAACGCTTTGGATTCGAGTATTCAGAATGGACAAAGCTTCGGATCCTCACTTATTTACTTCTTTTCTTTTTCTTGTTTATTTCAATGACAACATTTCTAATCTTGAGCTAACCCTTGCAAATCCAGGGGGATCACAGGACCTGGAGGCACTCTGAGGACGCCCACCAGTACCAGTTGAAAGTTTACTGGCGACCCATACCCTGACAATCCGGACAGGAGTCATTTCAAAGAACCTTACCACGATCTTAGTCTTAACTCCTCTAGTTGCGAGCATTTGACAGTACAAAATTCGGTGAAAATGTAGTTGAGGGGGGGGGGGGACCGCCACACACGGG